CACACCACAGCTCCCTTGGGAGAGTGACGGGTCACTCTCATGTAACCCCGTTACATATAAAGCTTGATATGGTTTTTTAAATTGTAGCATCCGGTGTACTTTTCTCGTGAAAGGCTCTTTAACCGGTGTCTAAGTGGTTCATATGCAACCGTCATCTGGGCGTTAGTTGATGCAGATTGAATTTTTCTCTGCGAGAGATGCGATAAAAAAGGCCAGCTTACAGCCCAGTTTGTTCAACATCTACATCTCCAAATTTAGGAGTTAAGAGATATACTCAGGTGCTTCGAGCAATCATGTGCGATGCGCACTAGTCGGGAACATGACAGCACGCAAATAAATTGAGAATTCCATTTACGGACGCATTATTCAAAAATCTCGCAACGCGGTTTGAGTTAAGTGCCAAACTAAAAAAAAATTACAGTGATAATCAAGATCTTTGACAGCGTACTAGGTTGGCTCGTCCAGGATCTGGACTCGGGATATGATCGTGTTTTAGGCAGGCGTAGCTCGAGTCATGAGCCGTGGATCGGATACACTGGGTGCCATACATTCTGCTCTTGATGAAGCTTTGTTGAGTCATGGTAACACATTGACTTGAAAGCAGAAGTGCTTTGGTGTGGGTATGTAGCCGCTGAGACCTCAATGTAGGGCATGGTATTGTCCGGACCGACGTGCAAAGATGCTGCCAAGTGCCTTTAGCAAATTTAAGAATGTAGATTTGTCAGTGGCCGAGGTCTGCCAAGCACATCTACGAGAAGATGAATAGTCACAGCTGCAAGCTAAGATCTTATGATCTTAGCTTGCAGCTGTGGTGAGATGGATAAGTTTGAATTCGGTCGCGGTTTCTAAAAAAATCTAATTAGAGCCGTGGATTCCAATTTAGGCGGCTATAAATCGTAAGTAAAATGAACACGATTGACATTAGCTGAAGTTGTCCGGTCTTGTCGCGGTTACGGTATTGCTGGCCTTAGCAACACCGAGTGACACGTCTTTCTTGTGAAGCAGTTGAACTCTACCGGTTTGATTTAGTAGCGATTATTCACTCAGAAAACAACTTGAGCTTGAAAAGCTATCCCTAGAGTTGTGTAAAAGGAACAGCAAAACAAGCAAGGCCTATGAGTTTGTGTGGTCGTACCGAAGGAGGAGCTGAAACCATCATTCGACATGGATTAGAATGTTATCAAGCTTACATGAAGCAATGAGTGCCAGTCGCCAAGCTTCTTTGATCCCCCTCTTACTATTTGTTATAGTTGTGAGGTTTGCAACAGGTGTTGTCCGAGTAGATCGTGATTTTCACGTGGTTCTCAATTTTAACTATTTTGCAAGACGCCAATTGCTCGTGCCAAGTAGACAGCGTGATGTTATTGACAATTTTATCGTGCAACGTTCGAAAAGGGCGGGGTGAGAAATCTCAATCATTTCGCTCGGCAGAGAAGTTCTGTGTAAGAAAGGCTAACGGCGAGTTTGTGATTTGAAATTAGTCACCGCTCCTGTGCATGAATCATTTTCAAGAAAGAACGCGCTGTAGAACAGCATGGGTATTTGCACCTTGTTGGCGTAGCTGGCATATAATCAGCTGCACATGACAGTGGTATTACTATCACTGCAGTGAGGATCCAAGTGGGAAGCGTTGGGGTTGACTTTTTGTGCCCTAGGTATCTGCAATATTATACCATAATGACAGGCACCATCGCACATACACACATACCTGTGTTATGGTATATGTATGATTGCTCTGTAGTTGCGCCGAGCACGGAAATCGAATTTGACACTCATTCCAATCAGTTGTGAGCAGTGCTGTAACGAGGGTTTCACTTACCCTGGTATGAAGGGTGTGGTCCACGTTAAATGGTTTAGCTTACACAAGATGATGTGAGCACACCATTGTGTGGTCAAACTTAAACAAGAAGTCCGTACGTGGCTGAAACAGCCAGTAGCTGTACATTTAATTAGGCTTTACAATAAAGCTAGGTAAATCATAATATCTAGGTTTAGATTTAGGATTTAGGCCCCAATGGAGCGTAGCTCAATACTGAGAGGAAGCTAACCTAAGGTCACCGACCTTACACTTTTTACAAGAACCAGAACGAGTGCAGCGGATCGCAATCCGCGGCCTCCAAGAGTATTAAAAACCTTATCCAGAGTAAAGACACTCTTCCGTTCACATTTTTAAACTGTATTTATTTGTTTTAGTCACGACAGAGCCGCCCATATCTATAAGCTTTATGATTATAAAGTAATAGCTAATGAAAATACTAAAATCTTATTAAGATGCATTACTCGTGGCAATCCTGCCACGTAGTGGCTTCTTATTACGGTGTATCCATACCATTATGTGATTACAACAATTTGTGGAATCCATACCTATGTACGATCACAATATCTAAGGTCGCATACCGCTGTGCGGAAGACCTCGAGATCATGGAGCACTTTGTGCACCAACTACATCGCGTTGGGGATTATCGTGCTTTATTGGAGCGGCTTTTAGCCGTTGAGCAGGCGAATACGTCACCTCGTGCGAAGGTGGAGCGCCTTACGCCGTGGGAGACGAACATTATTGCACTCCGTGCTCAGAACCAGTTGCTGGTTCAGCTTCTGGGTGGCCGAGCGCCTTTTGTCACCGCCCTGGTCCCAACGCTTCTGCGTTCATTTGCGCCGGATCCTGGTACGGCTTAAGCAAGCCCACATAAAACACCGGGTGGGTGCACATCCTTCTCGGAAGGTTCAGTGTTTACGCAAGGTCTCGCTTGGCCATGACCTTAAAAGGTCCAATGAACCGTGGACGGGGCTTTGTCCTAAAGACAGCAGAAAATGCATGTGCTGAGAGGTTTTAAGACCGGAAACAAACCAGGTTTCCGACCTCAAAGTTTTCCACATTTCTTTTGCATATTCTTTCTGCATGTCTTGGCTTTCGGCCAACGCATCGCGAACGTGTCGTAGGGCATTCTGTCTGGTAGAGAGGAAGTCATCGACTTCTTTACGGACAGTGAGGAAGCTGACATCAGCTAGCCGTTCGGCTATTTTTCCCCGCCAAGCCCTGAGCCATGGGATGACTGCGTCAGCGAAACTCGAGGATTAATAAGTCATTTCGCGTAGAAGGGCGTATAGCCGGTGGATGAATGCACTGCGTTGTTTAGACCAACGTCTACGAGTGGCAACTTGGCGCTCCAGCGCTTCAGCGTCACAGCACAGACGCTGCGAAGTACGTCTTCAACGACGCAATTCACGCGCTCAGTATTCCCATCGATCTGCGAATGGTCCACTGTTGACATAGTCAGCTTGGTGCCTAGCACCTCGAGGATTGTAGACCAAAGCTTCCCAGCGAGATGCGGGTCTCTATGAGAAACAATTGACTCCAAGAGTCCATGCTGGCGAAAGACACGATCGACAAACAGCGTCGCTGCACCCACACCGTATGTGGCGTCCGGCACTGCCGCAAGATGAGCCATCTTGCTCAAATGGTCCACAGAGACCACCACACCCGTGTTGCCCGCCGAGTCCTTCAGCAGGCCAAACTCAAAGTCCAAATGGACTGCAAACAACCAAAGAGTACCGGTAAACTGGCCAGTGGCGCCGCTACATTCGGAGAGGGTTTCACCCTATGACACATCTCACACGTGTGCACATATGTGCTGTCCACTTGTACAGCTTGGACCACCAATAGTTGAGCTGTACGACTTGTCACGACCGAGATGACTACTAAGTGGGGTATTGTGGACCTCATAGAGGATACAATTTATCAAATCCTCATCGTGAAAAAACAGAATTCGTGGCGTATCCTTTGAATCTGTGCCATAATGCAGCAGATCGTTACTCAACGAATATTGGTGTGGCCGTGCGCACAAACGCTCGGACAAATTCTTGTCCGAGTTTCCAAACTATTCACTCCGATACCAATAGCAGCGCTACACGCATACTATCACCCGCGCATGCGGCGCGAATAAAATCCGTCACTGTCGACATTACCGTCGTGATATGAGCAAGCTCATAGTCCGGTCTGCGTGACAACGCATCAGCCAAAGCATTCTGCTCTCCTTGATTATACGTCACCTCAAAATATTTTTTCTAATGATTGAGAGCCACCTGGTCATCCTCTGCGAGAGGTGAGGTGACTGAGTCGCTGTACGTAATGACGCATGGTCTCTGTAGATCACAAACCGATTTGGGCCAAGCAGGTGAGCTTTAAACTTGACAAGTGCATACTTCATCGCAGATGATTCTATATCGTGGACTGGATAGTTCTTCTTTGCAGCCTTAAGCTGTCGGGATTCGAAAGCGATCACATGAACTCGCCCTTCGGCGTCTGCTTACAGCAGTGTGCTACCGATGGCAAAGTCCGAATCGTCACAGACGGTTCTAGAAGGACGATCTTTGTCTGGCAACGCTATGATTGGTGAATGTCTTTGACCCTGTCAAACGCGTTCCGTACCCGGTGTCCCAACACCATTTCGTATCCTTCTTAAGTAGATTCGACAATGGCCGTTACGTTTCCGCATAATTTGCGCTATACTTGTGCAAGTAGCTGGTGAGGCCAAGCCATTTGAGCAAATCCTTTTCGCTCTTTGAAACCGGCAGGACCACAATGGCCTTGACCTTTGCGGGACTCACTCGAGGGCCACGCTTCCCAATGAACCACTCTACAAAGAGAATATTTTCCGCGCCGAAGATGCAATTATCGGCATTAGCTAACAGCTTATTTGGGCATGCACTCACGCACCGCTCTCAAATGAACAATGTTTTTTTCGGGTCGAGTGCGCTGTACTTTATACAGTCAGCCATATTATTCTGGAGAACATCCTTTCTAGAAATCGCCGTCTGTGCAGGAATATAGGCAGTATTTAGCTTATTGTAAGCGTAAGTGATACACCATATGCCCTACGGCTATCGGACGCAAAACGTGGGTGTCGAATGGAGAGACTTGCATTCGCGCACCAATTCTGCCTCGTGCTTTGCACGGAAAATGCGTCAGCAACGTCGCACTGCTTCTTGAGCAGGGGCCATTGGCGGGTTACGCAGTATTTGGTTCCCGGAACCAGGTCGATTTTATGACGCACACCTCGGTCTGGAGGTAGGACCGACGGCAGGTCTTTGGAGACGGCGTCTTGAAATTTCTTTGCCTAAGGAAAATACAGATCCGAGGGACCCTTCAGGATCGACGATCCACTCCGTGCGTTCAGCACTCTCTTGGTGTACTCCAGGACAGCTTCATCCGAGAGCAACGGCGAGTAAATCTCCTCCTTCATTCTTATAATGACCACCTCGGCTAAATTGCCTGCCATCAAGGCACCGTCAAACTCTTCGAAGGACATCTCGTCCGACTCAAGAAGAGCATCCACTGCGGGAATAGCCTTGAGGGTAACGTCGCCGTCTTCCTCTCCCGTCATACCGTTTTCAAGGGTATTTAGCTTGCACTATCGTCTACGGTAGACTCACCCTGGGGCAGCGTCGATGCCTTGCGTCTCGCAGATAATATACGGCTTCGCCGTCTCCTGTCTAGAGAGATTTTATGTCTCATCAAGATCAGTGGGAACACGCACTCGACGTCATCCAGTGTCCCCACTTCCTGGTCCATTGGAGGCTGATGTGATTAAAAACATCCGACGAAGAGCTGCTATTTTCATAGCCTTCGTCCAGTGGATAACGTGTCACTCCACGCGTATCAGAAGGGCCTTGCTCAGGATGCCTCAGACCTCGTTCGACCATGCTTCCCTCGGCATGCAGCAACTGCTTCGAAAGGTGGGCAGTATTCGGTGGGTGACGTGCCACTTCACGGGAATTACTGGGGCGTCGCCCTTCATGCCTCAGACCTCGTACGACCATGCCACTCTTGGCATGCAGCAGCTGCTTTGATACTTGAGCAGCGCTCGGTTGGTTACGTGCCACTCACGTTTAGCCCGAGATCCACGCTCGGAAATCTTGTTAGAAACACTTTTTGTGTTTGACAACTCAGAAAATCCGATATCCAGCACATTTACCGTCCCGGTCCAGAGCCCATGCCAAATTCGCTTCTGCTTCCAAGCATAACTCACCAAAGCTCCACCAGGAGACGTGCGCGCAGCGCACAAGGTTTTGACCTCGAATCAATCCATGGCTCATGGTGTCCCAATCATGCCATACGAAGGATAAGGTCATACCTTGGATCCAAGTCTGAGACTAGACAGCGCTCCTCGCTACCAAAGTCAAGGAACTTGACACCGAATTCCACAGGGACGCTTGGTACAGTGACGCAAGTCCCCGTCGCTGAGCAAACAGTGACGGTGTCACTCAACCGCGCTTCCAGAGCTTCAACATATAGCTGACTTCCTTCGATCATGGAGCGTCGAGCAAAATTGCCCGATGCACCAGAATTGATAGAGATTTCATGCGGCTTATCCAAGCCGTTCATGATCGCTTTTACGACCAGCAAGCTCGGTTTGCACAGACGTTCCGTGTTCAGGAGCGCGGAGCTATTCGGGGTTGGGCTCTGTTGCCTTTTACCTTTTTTAAGCTCAGCAGAACGCAGTTCTTCCCCAGGAGGGCACCCCTAGCCAACTTCGTGCTGTCGTTTCTCCGCGTCAAATAAGGCTAGTTAGACGCTGGACGTCGGTTCGACGAACCTTTACGCGCCTTGCACAAGAGACAACCCGTCCGAAGGTGACGGGTGTCTGACAAAACACCGGCGGGTGTTTACTCGCTGCTCAGCAACGCCGAGCTCCCCCTCCTCCCTCTGACCATAGCTGAGACCCATTTGATCAGACCCGCTCGACGAGCACTTAGGGTGTGCATTCCAGCCAAGTCGTGCCGACTTAAAGTTCAATTTGGCATTCAATGCCACGTTAAACGCTTTTCAAATAAAGACGGATGCACACGGTAGACTTTCATTCTGGCCACGCCAGTACGTATGCCCTCCATAAGGACGGTCATTGCGTCCGCCTCGGGGAGAGGATCTGCTGCCATCCCGGCAATGAGAGTTCTCAACTCTTGGACAAAGTCCACCAACTCTTTCTTGCCGATATGCCTGATTAAGCGGCGAGAACACTCACAGAAGCTGACGCATCAGCTCCTTCCAGGAAAGGAGCGCAGCTTTAATCGAGGCGCCGCACGTTAGTGCCCATTTTCACGCTCGGCGCCCGAGCATGGAAATAGCTGGCACCACGCGCTGTTGCTCGTTTCGGAGCATGGCGGATGCCATAGCCATCTCGGCCTCTCTTATCTAGAGCAGGACTCTCTCTCCGTCGTTGTTTCTCGAAGGTCTTAATGCTCACCTTGGGCGGCCTAGGTCGGTAGGAATCATCCGTCGTCGAAGGAGGTGTCATTGACGTAGTCGACGCTGACAGCTTCTGATGTAAGTGCTCTAACAAAGCATTTTCATAACTTAAAAATGCCTCTAGGTGGGCGCCTATAGCCTCAGGCTCTTGTGCAACAAGGTGTTGCACACCCTCAATGCCCGCAAGGGCATTAGCTCATGAAGCCCGTCCTGCATGCACCGGGGCAAATAGAAATATTTTTAATCCTCACAGAGGATAAGTCGTATCGGAGTCAATCTACGCCTGAGTCGTAGATTGACTCCGAGTGCTACCAAGTGCAGCGGGGCTGCCGTAGCTCTTGTGCTAAGCCTAGGTCGTCAACCTTACGGTCTTTCCAAGAACCAGTATGAGTGTAGCGGATCGCAATTCGCTACCTCCAAGTACTGAAGCCTTTCCAAGGCAAACGAACACTTCTGTGCAAAATTGAAACTGTATTTGATTGATTTAGTCGCGGCGAAGCCGCCAATAAATAAACCCCTAACTTTTCCTGATTAATATAGTAATACCTAGTTAATATAGCAAAACCTAATCAGTATAGTAATATGCATTACTACTGGCCATTCTGTCAGATTGTTACGGTGTAGCCACACCACTGTATTATTTAATTTACTTGTGTAATACACACCTATATCCGGTACGCGCCCTTTCAGACTAGGGTACGAGGAACCCCGTTACATAGAGCCAGACTTCATCGTCCATTGTCGCGAGATATACACGCTTTTTATACTCGGTCGTGGGATGGACCACAAGTGCTACCAAGTGCATCGAGGTTGCCGTGCACTTTGTGTGGAGAGCCTCTACAATAACGAATACTGATAGTCTAGTCTGCAATTGCTCGAGTTTGGCTCGAAATGTATCACTGAATTCGCCTAACTATTTTTATACGAACAACCATCACGCGATGTAGCTTTCATATGCAGCAAAACCTTGCTGTCGCATGGAACTTGTCTCGCACTTGAGCTGTGTTGAGGATGTTTAACCACGCTTAAAAGTATATGTATCTAGGGTTTATTTTGTTTATATAAGTTGATCCTCTGTTATCTATACAGATACGCCACCTGTAAATTTAATTTCTCCAGCCGAAGCTGGAGGAAGCTGGAGGAATCGAAATTATATGTCGTTATATCCTACTTATATGGTGTAAGCGAAAATTCTCGAGCTTTCCGCTAAATCGACTATCTGAGCCTATCCAAGCTTGCAAAGTAAGTGATTATGGACGTGTTGGCCTGGTCTAATATTGTGGGTAGTTGGCGCTAGTTTGAAAATGCCTGAAAATCAAATCGGTCGTGTGAGTAAATGAACCCT